ATTGTTCTATTTAATTATTTGTTGTTAATCTCTTACTATGCCTAATTTATAAATTAAACCTTATCACAGGTATGAATGTAAAGGAAAAAAATCTCATATATGTGTGTGTGTGTATAGGGTTTGGTACTATCCACAGTTTCACGTAACCACTGGGACTCTTGGAACACATCCCCTGAGGATAAGGGAGGACTTATTATATACAGACAAACAAAACAAAGGGAAATCTTCAAGTTCCAAAAGTGCAGAGGAACCTAAAAGCTAGAGTGGTGAGCAAGTGTTGATGCTGTGATCAGCCTGGGAGTCTTCAGTTTGGAACAGCTGTAGACTGCAGGGGCTAAGGAAAGGGTTTTAATGCTTCTACAAAAGAGAGGAAAAGTAACTTTTTCTTGTAAGAATTGAGCAACTGGGAAAAACAGCCTGCACAAAGCTTTGAGCCTAGGAAGCTGCCAGTCTGTTTAAATGGGACTAGAAAAGCTCTACATGTATTCCAAGAAAGTGGTGAGGACCTTTTCTGTCTACCCAGGGCTGAAGATGGACTGAAGAACACCTACCAAAATATCATTACCCCAAGTGTGTTCTGTGCAGAGGAGACAGATCTGAATTTACATAGGCAACCCTCTGAGAGTATCCTTAACTGAACAATTAACACACAAACTGGTGTCTCAAGATCTTGAGACTCTAAGAGCCACAGCTAAAGCAATTAAGAAACTAACCCCTGAAGGGATCATATTATGAAGTGAAGCCTTGGAAAAAATAATTAGGTTTAGAGGAGGTTTCCTCTTCATTTTTGGAACTTGAAGATTTTCCTTTATTTCATTTTAGCTCGTGTGTATATAGTAGTCTCCCTTTATCCTCAGGAATTAGTACCTATGATCGGATTAATATTCTTAGTGGAAGAGAAAGGGACTGCAGAACTCTCTCTTTGCGGTGTGAGGACACAAGAAGACAACAGCCGCCTGCAAACCAGGCAGCGGACCCTTGCCAGACACTGAATCAGTTGGCCTGATCTTCTAATTCCGTTTCTTTAGAATTACAAGGAATCAGGACCAGCAGACGACGTAGTGGTTACATCACTGGACTCCCACATAGTTGATCACAGTTTGAGTCCTGGACCTGGCAGCTTCAAACTCATGTCGGGCGTGTGTATGTGCATGCCCAAAATCCCAAGAGGAGAATGGAGGAAAAGGGATTGTGGCATGGCTATCCCCCTGGGGAGTGATTTCTTGCTGTCTCTCTGTCTCTGTCTCTCTAACAAGAGCATTCACCCTATAACAAAGAGCTCTACAAAAGAAAAAACAATTGTGAGGAATAAATTTCTGTACTGTATGCCACCCAGTCTGTAGTATTTTTGTTATAGCAGCCCAAACTTACTGAGACAGGGAATGATAGCCTAATGGGCAAAGGTCTCCCCTGGAAGTGACAAAAATGTTTTGGAACTAGAGAGAGATGATGGTTACACAACATTGTGAATGAACTGAGTGAACCATTTTAAGTTGGTTAATTTTAAGAAAGCAGATATCATCAAAATGTTAAAAAGTCAACCCACAGAATGGGAAAAAATATTTGCAAATCATGTATCTGACTTGGCATTTATTTCCAGAATATGTAAAGGATGCTTACAATTGAACCGTTAAAAAGCAAATAAGTCATAGTTCAGTTATAGACAGGGTGGAGGGCAATTTATTTATTAGGTTTTTGCCAAAGAAAGACAGAGACAGTGAGAGGGAATGTGAGAAATCACCCACCAGGGAGGATGGCCATGCTGCAATCCCTTCTCCTCCACTCTCCTCTTGGGATTTTGATTATGCCACCAGATCTAGGATTCAAATTATGGTCAGCCATGTGCGAGTCCAGAGCCTTAACTACTATGCCACCTGCTGTCCCCAGGGGTAGAAGATTTGAATAGACATTTTCTCAAAGAAAATATAGGAATGCCCAATTTGCACATAAAAAGATGCTCAGCATAATTAATCATTAGGGAAATGCTATTCAAAACTATCACTAAAACGCCACTTCACACCCTCTAGGATGGCTATTATAAAAAAGACAGATGATAACAAGTGTTAGTAAGAATGTGGAGAAATTGGGACTCTCAATACCTTGCTGGTAGAAATGGAAAAAGATATAGCCACTTTGGAAAATAGTCTGGCAGTTCCTCAAAATATTAAGCAGTTACCAATGAACCAAGAATCCCACTTCCACAGAGAAATAAAACATGTAGCCACATGAAAACGTGGCTACAAATATTTATAGCAATATATTCATGATAGCCAAAAAGTGAAAACAACCCAAATGTCCATCAGTTGATGAAGGGGAAGACAACATGTGACATATCTGCACAAGGGACAACTGTCTGGAAATATAAAGAACTGAAGTACTGATACATATCACACACAGATGAACATAGAAAACACTGTACTACATGAAAGAAACGAGACACAAAAGGCCACATATTAGTACATGATTTAATTTATGTGAAATGTCCAGAATAGGCAAATTTATAGAGAAGGTAGATTTACTGGTTGCTAGGAGAAGGGGAGGGTTGGAGAATGGGAGATGAGCGTGACTAGCATGACTACTAAAGGGTCTAGAGGGTTTTTCTGAGATGATAAAAATGTTCTACAATTAGATCATGCGACCCAGCAAGTGGTATAGTGGTTAATGTGCTAGACTACTACATAGCTGACTATGGCTTGAGTCCCGGACCTGGCGGCTTGTGTTCTCGTTTTCCTTCTCTTTCTCTAGTGAGCAATATTAAATAAATAATTCTTTTAAAAAATTAGATTGTGTTGATGGTGGCACAGCTTTGTGACTATGCTAAGATCATTGACTTGTACACATTAAATGGGTGAGTGTATGACATAGGAGTTATAGTTAAATAAAGCTGTCATAGAGAAAATGTAATGAAAAGAGATCCAAATCATAATGGCAACTGTAATTATGAGGTATATATTATTAAGTAACAAGTTACTCCCTAACTTAGCAGCCTAAAATAGCACACATTATCTCCATTTCTGAGGGTCAGGAAACCTAAAATGGTTTTGCTAGGTAGTTCTGGCTCCAAGTTTCTCATAACGTTGTCATTTGACTAGGGCTGGAGGATCTCCCCTAAAATTCACAACCTTGTTGTCAGGAGGCTTTAGTTCTTTGCCACATGGGCCATTCCATGGCTGTGTACCACACAGCTTCCCCCAGAGTGAATGATACAGGGGTGTAGTGGGGACCGGCCAAAACAGAAATCACAAATTAAAAAAAAAAATTTTTAAGTTTATTTCATTCATGAAGAGAGAGACAGACAGCACTCCTAAACATGTCTCAACACCCTGATTCCAGGCCCCAACTAGCCCAGATCAGAGGCACAGTGTATAGCGTACTCAGGGATCTGGACATGAACGGATAACTTTCCCATGTGAGACTGCCTCACAGAGGTTTTTTTTTTTTTTTGAGAGGTTTTCGCTATAGGGCGCGTGCGCTCGCCAGACAGACAGAGAGAGACAGAAAGACAGAAAGCGAGAAATCACCCCCCAGAGGGGATGGTCACGCCGCAATCCCTTCTCCTCCATTCTCCTCTCGGGATCTTGGGCACGCACGCACACGCGCCCAGCGTGAGTTTTAAGCCACCGGGTCCGGGACGCGAACCGCGGGCGACTACGTGGGAATCCAGCGACATAGCCATTACGCTAACTGCTGGTTCCCTCACAGAGTTGTATTTTACCAAAGTGTTAACATTTAACTCTAGAAGTCCCCATTTTTTATAACCTATGGTAGCAACATACTTCGCTTCTGTGTCCCTTGGTCACATAGACCAATTCCTGAGACTATACACAGGCTATGAATACCAGATGATAGAATCACTGGGGGTCATCTTGGACCATCATATCACATGTTGTACCAACAACAACAAATACCTAAACATACCATGGCAAAAATAGCTCATTGTCTCCTAATATAGGTGCTTCCCTTTTTCTACAATAATAAGGCTTCCTTCCCAATTTTCAACTAGACTCATGACTGTCTACATTGGATAAAGGCTTTTTTCATAGCCTACTTTTTCAAGGAGGGGTCAACACTTGGCTAAGATCTTGCCAGAGGGAAGAGGAAATGAGATGTGTGACCTTCTGAAGTGTGTTTATTAGAGAGAGGGCTGGATGCTTCTAACTCCTTCCATCCTGCTGCTGGTAACGTGATGTGTCAGCTGGCGCTCCATCTTGGACTACAAGCGCCAGGGCTGCCCTCTGGCTGATGATCAGAAAGCTCTCATTAGCCTGGGTCCCAAAGAAGCACAGATTTGCCATACTAGTCCTATGACACTTACTTCTAAATTTTTCTAAGATTTTTTTCTATCAGGCTGGCCCCACGGCCTGGAAGTTAAGGGAGCTGGATCCCACATGGCTGACTGCAGTTTGAATCCTGGCCCCTGTAGCTTGAGGAACACTCCAGGCATATGTGTGTGTGTGTGTACCTCAAATTCCCACAGGACAGAGAAATGGAGAAAGGATTGCAATGTTACTATGCCCCATTGTAGGGGATGCTTTCTCTTTCTCCCTGTCTCTCCTACTCTCTCTCTGGGAAGCACATGTGACTTCTGGCAATAAAAAACCAAAATTCTGATTTCTTAAATGTGTGATCAGGTGGTGTTCTGCGTGTACCGTGCATGACACATGGTCTTACAATGACTAGAGAGATGTTGTGTTTTAGTATGGTTTTGCCATGGCCCTTATCTTCAATGTCATGTACTTCAGAAATGTTAGAACTGTTAGTAAGTAAATTCTCATAGAATTATTGGGATTAGCAGAAAAATGACACATTGGTATGAAGGTTGTTTTTTTTGTGACATCATCACTGTCACCACTTAATTTGGATGTGAATATCTGCTGAGGGACAGTCACTTTGAAAGGAAAAATGGAATGTGCTTTTAGAAACCTTCATTTGATGAATGTTCCCAGATGTTTGATTTCTAAATATTTCTTCCTGCTTCCTTCCTCTCTTCCCCCTGCTAGGAAAGGCACCAATGCCCAGACCTGGCTACAAGCCTCAGGAGCCCAACGGCTGCAGCTCCTATTTCCTGGGTCTCAAGGTACCAGAAAGTGTATGTACGATCAGCATTCCTTTCTCAGTTGGACAATAATCCCAAAATAACCATCACTAGAAGTGATCATTTATGGCATCTCATTGAGCAGAATATTGGGTCATTGGAAAGGGCATGATGCATTTTTCTAGGTTTTTCTATGCAAAAATGTGTCATGACTTTTCCAATGGCCCAATAATTAAACATTATAAATTGGATAGGTGGGAAAGGACACTATTTTCAAAAAAGATACCTGATTTCCTTTCTCAGAGACCTCAGTAGGCTTTGGTAGAGGGTCAAAACCTTGAAAACACCACGGCAAACAGTAGTTGAGTCCATAGGAAACAAAATAAAACAAGTTGGAATAGATCTCTCCCATAGTAGAGGCTAAGGGAGCACAGTTTGAGTCCCAACTTCATTGGCTTTAAAAACATGCCATGCTTGCCCCAAATCCTCTCAGGATAGAGAATGGGAGGAAAAAAGGATTGTGGCATGACCATGTCTCATTGGGGGTGCTTTCTTTGTCTCCCGTGCACATGCAGGCAAGAACACTTGCCCTATAGAAACCACAGCAGCAACAACAGAAACAGATCTGGGGACCAGCAGATGGCGTAATGGTTACATCGCTGAACTCCCACTTGGTCAACTGCAGTTTGAATCCCAGACCTGAAGGCTTAAAACTCACGCTGGGTGTGTGTGCACACATGCCCGAAATCCCCAGAGGAGAATGGAGGAGAAGGGATTGTGGGGTGGCCATTCGCCCAGGAAGTGATTTCTCATTTTTTGTTTCTCTGTCTCTCTGCCTTCCTGGTAAATGCACATGCCCTATAACAAAAATCTGAAAGGAAAAAAAAAAAAAAAAAGAAAAGAAAGAAAAGAAAGAAAGAAAAAAGAGACCTGACAGGTTTGACTTATTAAATTTAGTAAGCCATTCCATTGAGGTGCCTGAGCTGGTCAATACTGATCAGTGAGAGCTAACTGTTCCATTAAGATACTTCAAAAAGTTCCTGGTACAATAGAATTTAAGTAAGAGTTTATTTTTGGCCAAAAAAAAAAAAAAAAAATGGAGGAGCACACATAATTTTGTCTTTTCTTTTCTTTTCTTTTTTTTTTTTTGGAGAGATTTTCACTGTAGGGCGCGTGCGCTCGCCAGACAGACAGAGACATAGAGACAGAAAGCGAGAAATCACCCCCCAGGCCTTTTATTTTCTTAATTAGCCAGAGGGCCCACGAACTCACCCGAGAGAGAGAAAGTTCGAAAGCACTTCCTATGGGCATGGTCATGCCGCAATCCTTCTCCTCCATCTCTCCCTCCTTTTAGGATTTCAGGCACGTGCACACATGAGCCCCGCGTGTTCTTCAAACCGCTAGACTTGAACTGTATGGTTATCCATGTGAGATCCAGCCACCTTAACCATCATACCACCAGCTGGCCCCATACAGAGTTTCTAATACTCATTTTCCATGGACTTTTTGTCATATGGTTGTAACTTTGGCAAGTGGCTGAATTCACAGGGTAGCATCAACCAGCTATGTTTGGAGTACTGACATCAGAGAAAGCTGCAGACGCAGACACACACGCGACTGCTCACTGCACAGTTATCAGCACACCACCGACCCCTTCTCAAACTGCCAGCCTCATCTAAAACGAAGTCAGAACTTGATTTCTTGGAAGACTTCTTGGAAGCCCTTTTACCACTTTCATTTTAGAAAAGAGCTTTCATTAAAATGTAAATAGAGGGATTTTGTATCTAAAATATGATTTTGAATTGTGTCTTAATAAAACTAAACTTGACTTTTCTGTTGATTGAAGCATTTTACTTTGTACTCATTTTCTTTTCTTTTGTCTTTTAAAAGAATTATTTATTGACTTAATTTTATTTGTCATGCTTATTTTTAAATTTGACCAGATAGAGAGAAAGAGAAAGTGAGAAAGCAAGTCGCCAGATCCAGGACTCGAACCACAGTTGGCCATGTGGGAGTCTAGTGGCTTAACTACCACACCACCTGCTGGCCCCTTGTACATTTTCTTTATTTTTGTAGTGTTTTTTTCCTATAGGGCTTGTGCGCTCGCCAGAAAGACAAAGAAAGACAGAGAGAAAGCGAGAAATCACCCCCCTCCGAGGGGGTTAGCAACGCTGCAATCCCTTCTCCTCCATTCTCCTCTTGTGATCTTGGGCACACATGCCCGGCATGAGTTTAAACCACCAGGTCTGGGACTCAAACTGTGGTCGACTCCATGGTTCGGCTACATAGACATTACACTAACTGCTGGTCCCTTCCCCTTGAACTTTTTTTTTTTTTTTTTTTTGGGTGTGTTTTTTTTATTGGGGGAGTGTGCCAGACAGACAGAGAGAGACATAGAGATAGAAAGCAAGAAATCACCCCCCAGGGCGGATGGCCATGCCGCAATCCCTTCTCCTCCATTCTCCTCTCGGGATCTTGGGCACGCACACATACGTGCCCGGTGTGAGTTTTAAGCCACCGGGTCCGGGACGCAAACCGCGGTCGACTACATGGTAGTCCAACGACATAGCCATTACGCTAACTGCTGGTCCCCCACAATAAACCTTTAATTCACTTTCTCATGAACTTTTATTTTTTGTTTTAGAGAAATCTTTTGCTATAGGGTGTGTGTGCTTGCCAGAGAGACAGAGAAGAGACAGAGAGACAGAAAGCAAGAAATCCCCCCCTCCCCAGGGGGGACAGCCACACTGCAATCCCTTCTCCTTCATTCTCCTCTTGGGATTTTGGCTATGCACACAAACACGCTAGGCATATTTTAAGTCACCAGGTTTAGGACTCAAACCACAGTCAACTATGTGGGAATCCAGCTACGTAACCAGTACACCATCTGCTGGTCCCTTCCGTGGACTTTTTAAAGTCCCCTCATACTCCTCGGATTCTGTTGTCTTTATGATCTATTTTTAGTTTGGGGGCAGAGTAGTCTATTTCAGGAATCCAGTTATGGGAATTTAATCAGAATTGCAGAGCTTATGCACTGGCCTAGTCAAGTAAGTTAGATTATCTCTAATATGTTATATTAAAGATATATATATAATATATTTTTTATATATAAACAAATATACATATATATATAGTCATCGGAAAAGTCATGACGCATTTTCACATTTCCCGACAACCCAATATATACACGTAAGGACACCCAGGTGGAAAAAGTCTGTAATTGGTGCTTCATCAGTTCCCACCCATACCCTGAAGCAAGGTTTTCACAGCTTCCACCAAAGTTCAAGTCCACTTTATCAGAAAAACTGCCGAGAGTCTGAGATAACCTACCAAGACCAGACCCCTTACTCCAATTTATTCTATATACCACAGAATGACTGGTGTTCTTTAATCACTATTTTTTAAATGTTATTTTATACATTTAATCACTATATATTACCTAGCTTGTAAGTTGAATTTACCCAACATGGATATACTTCACACCAGTCCAGTTGAGTATACAAAACACATTATCATCAACACATAATAATCCCTTTCTGTGTCCCATAAATATCTTACACCTCTATTTTCCTTCTTAATTTCTTTTTTTTTTTTCAAGAATTATTTTAATTGGGACCAGCAGTTAGCGTAAAGGCTATGTCGCTGGACTCCCATGTAGTCGACAGTGGTTCAAGTCCCAAACCCAGTGACTTAAACTCATGCCAGGCGTGTGTGCATGTGTGCCCAAGATCCCAAGAGGAGAATGGAAGAGAAGGGATTGCAGCATGGCCATCGCCCCTGGGGGGTGCTTTCTCGCTTTCTGTCTCCCTGTCTCTCTTTGTCTTTTTGGTGAGCGCACGTGCCCTATAGACAAAAGAAAAAAAAACCAAAAAAAAACTCTCAAAAAAAAAATGACAATTGTAACATGAAATGATCAAGCCAGAGCTTACTGCGCAACGGATGATCATTTGCATGCATGTGTGCATGCGCACACACAGAGAGAGAGGGAAAGTGAGAAAGCAAGCTACCAGGTCCAGGACTCGAACTACGGTCGGCCACGTGGGAATGTCCAGCACTTTAACCATACTACCACCTGCTGGTCCCAATTTCTTTCCTTATACTCTCCCCCTTCTCCCATCCTCTGCCCACATTATCTCCAGTACCTATTTTCAATGCTTCTACGTCCTCTAAACTTTTAGTTTCCACCATAGAATGTGGACTTTTAACATGTCCCTTCCTTGCTCAAAAGTCTCTGTCAAATCTACCTAATTTCTTTGGAAATCAAGGCCATCCATCCACTTGCCCTCTTCTCTAATGAAAAAGTTACACATTTACACACACACACACACACACACACACTCATGTGTCACCTGACAGCAGGGTTACATTCTGAGAACCGTTGTCATTACGTGATTTCATTACAGTGTGAACAACATAGAGTGCCTTGAAATACACCTAGATGGCATAGTCTACTAATACATCTAGCTATATGCTGTGGCCTATTGTTCCAGAGTGTGAATATACTGAATACTGGAGGCAATTGTAACACAATGGGAAGAGTTTGTATTATCAAACATAGCTAAACATTAGAAAAAGTACAGTAAAGATATGGTACATAAGATTTTAAAATGGCACGTCTGTATAAGGCACTTGCCATGAATGGAAGCTGCAGGACTGGAGGTGTCTCAGGGTTGATGAGTGTACAGGAAGGCCTAGAACAACTACCGCATACTATTGCAGACGTTACACACACTGTATGCTAGGCTACACTAAGTGTATGAAACATTTATTTTTCATAAAAAATTATCCTTAGCTTACTTAGCATGTTTACTTTATAAACTTTTAAATTTCTTAAAAACTTTTGACTTTCTTGTAGTAATAGTTTAGAATACAGCACATTGTACAGCTGTGCCAAATATTTTTTCTTCATATCCTTATCTTATAAGCTTTTTTCTATTAAATTTTTGTTTGTTTGTTTAAAAATTGTTTTTTGTTAGAGACTAAGACACAAACATATACATTAGCCTAGGTTTACACAGGACCAAGACCATCAATATTACTGTCTTCCACCTCCATATCTTGTCCCAGGATGAATGAAACAACACAAGATTAAATGTACCCAAAGAAAATAATTCAATCATGGTAAACATGAGATGTATGAGGTTGCTGATGGCATAAAAGCGTATGCTTTTACAGTAAGCTTTTGTTGTTTTAGGTTTTTTGCCATAGAGTATGTGTGCTTACCAGAGAGAGACTGAGAAGGAAAGTGAAGTCACCCTCTAGGGGGGGTGGGATGTCAGATCACAGTCCCTTCTCCCCCATTCTCCTCTCAGGATTGTGGATACCCACACTTGGGCCCAGTGTGAGTTGCAAGCCACCAGGTGCAGGACTTGAACTGCAGTTGACTATGTGGTAGTCCAGCGTCTTTGACACCATGCCATCTACTGGCCCCAAGAGTTTGTTTTTATAAGAAGGAATATACTCTACAATAAAATAAGAAGTGTATTATAGTAAACACACACCCGTAACATAGTCATATATCAAGTGTTAGACACTATACATAATTATATATGTTACACTTTTACATGGGCAACCCAATTGGTTTGCTTATACCATCATCGCCAGCCCCAACACATGAATAAAATGCTGAAATATTGTGCTATCTTATGACGTTGCAGTGATAGGACTTTTTTGGCTCCATTGTAATTGCATGGGATCACCGTATAGCATAATGGTGGCTATAATGTAGCATTCTGTGAATTCTCATATTGGCTCCACATTGACTGAAACTGTTCTGCAGCACATGACAATCTATACATATCATACCCATGTGTACATGTGTAAGTATTTCCCTGCTGAGACCTTAGAATGACTAAATAGACTTGTTCATGTACGTTTTATTCCTTACTTCCTTTCTCCAGTTGTTGTATCCTGAATCTGTCTTTGTTTCTGCTAACCTTCTCTCAATCATCTTTCAAAATCCTCTCAAAACAAACAAACAAACAAAAAACAAACAAAAAAAAATAGTATTTAACTACATGTGGCATCCTATGAACTTATTTAGTTTATGAGACGTTTATGATTGCTTTATTATATTTTTAAGTGGGATATTGATTTACCTATTTTTAAAGATATATTTTTTAAAAGTTTCTTTCTTTCCTCCACAAACAAGAGAAATTGAGACAGAAAGACTGCACTCCCAGCAGGGCCCCATGCCACAATTCACCTCCAGCTTCAGCCAACTTTGGATCGTGAACACATGACCAGAGTTTTCAGGGAGGTCTTTGGACATGAACCCAGAATCTTCCTATGTGCGTTGATCTCGGAGAGCATGACATGGCTGCTGTGGAACCATCCAGCCCCCATTTATGGTTATTTATAGGGTGCTTGGTGAGAGATGGAAAGAGAGGGAGAGGGAGGAAAGGGAGAGAGTGTGTGTATGTGTTTGTGTGTGATGTTGTCATAGTCCCCTTGTGGCCAGATTACGCACTCTATACCCCAGTCTGCTCTCTGACACATTCAGACATGCACCCTTAAAACAGTGTTGTATGGGATGAGTTCCTAAGAAACGTCAGTGATCTCTTGATGAACTGAGACAGAATTTTTTTTTTTTGAGAGGTTTTTTTCACTATAGGGCACGTTCACTCGCCAGACAGACAGAGAAAGACAGAGAGACAGAAAGCGAGAAATCACCCCCCAGGGGGGATGGTCACGCAGCAATCCCTTCTCCTCCATTCTCCTCTCGGGATCTTGGGCATGCACGCACACGCGCCCGGCGTGAGTTCTAAGCCACCAGGTCTGGGACGCGAACCGCGGTCGACTACGTGGGAGTCCAGCAACATAGCCATTACGCTAACTGCTGGTTCCCCTGAGACAGAATTTTAAAATATTTCTTAGTGTTCAAATCCTTTGCTCAACCAAAATCTCATATGAAAATGTTAAGTTTTAATTGCATTTGGAAGTCCTGAAGCTCTGCCCCCTTGACTACTTTTCTGGTCTCTATTTTTCATCACTGTAGCAACCTGTGAGTTGGAAAATCACTAAGAAAAAACAAAAAAGATGAAAAATGGGCCAGAGTCCCTTATTAAACTTATAACTAAACAACGATGAAAACTTAGCACACTGTGGCTCTCAGTCAGATATATTCCACTGAGTCTTTGGTGTCTCTGAATTGGTCTGAATATGTAACAGGAATTTGGGAACTGGCTACTTAACATGGTGGACAAGGTCACCTGAGGTCCTTAGTCTAAACGTGGCGTTCTTTTCTTCCTCTCCCCAGATGGACTTGGGCATCCCAGCAATGACCAAGTGCTGCAACCAGCTGGATGTCTGCTATGACACTTGCGGTGCCAACAAATATCGCTGTGATGCAAAATTCCGATGGTGTCTCCACTCCATCTGCTCTGACCTTAAGCGGAGCCTGGGCTTTGTCTCCAACGTGGAAGGTAGCTATCTGGCGGGCATGTGCTTGTGAGCAGGGAGTGCTCCTGGTTTTGCACAGAGATGTAGCCAGAACCCCTGTACTCAAGCCTGTCGGAGCTCACAGAACTTTACAGAAAACCGTGACCACTGCAGGAAAGGCTGGAGGAAGATTCTGGGCGTTCCTTCCTTAAAGTTCTTGCTATCCTGCCCACAAGCTACTGGCGCCACTCTGGATGGAGAGTGCACCAAAAGCCTTCCCAGAGAAATAAAACAGCCCTTTAAGACCAGAGAGTCGCCCAGCTGGCGTGGGTTATCCATTCCACCGCTAAATAATTTTCCATATCAGGAGTTACTTATTCAGTATAGGACCTCCTGGTTTGGCTTAAGCCTTTTTTTTTTTTTTAACTTATTTATTGTCAAGATAGGAATTAAAAACCTCTTTTTTTTTTTTCATAAAGGACTATAGATCCTTGAGGATAATTACTTTTTAAAACAACTGCTTAGATGCACAGTTTCTAGTGCTGACTCTGTAATTTCTTTTCAGTAATTTACCTTAAGAAAAGTTTCAGTCATTCAGCTTCTGAAGCCAGAACATTCTATCAGATATTAGCATTTTATATTTTTAGATGGCAAAGGTTGAAATTCAGGCATCTAAAGAGTTGGCTCCAGGTCACAGAGACTGTCAGCGTAGGAAGAATCCTGGATGACGTCTAGAGAGTCCTAAAGTGAAGGTGTACGGGATTGAAAAGAAAATAACGGGGCTCTGTAAAAGGGAGTATCATTCTATTCTCTATCTACAAAGGGTGAAAAAGTACCTGCTAATCTAGACGCGATCAAGTGACTTCCTCCAAGCAATGTCTTGTTTCTTCTTTCTCCTAAATATCTCTTTGGTATCCTACTTACCTGGTTACTACAAATTAACCCGGTCCCTGTGTCCTGTCCAATCTATTCTCCCCATTGCGACTAGATCTATTTTTATATCATACGGATCTAATCAGTTTAAGTCACTTAATGGAGTCCTTCTCCTTCTGGGTTAAACCAAACTTCTTAGAAAGACATACAGGGCTCTCTCTGATTCAGCTCTGGCCTTCCTCTCCCCCATCATCTGGGGTATTACTGACCTCTCCTGACTGCTGCCATGTCAAGACCTGGGGTGATGGCCCATACCTCTGCCCCTGCAGTCCCTTCTGTTTGGAACACCCTGATCGATTTTTTTTTTCATGATTGTTTAAACAGCTTTATTGAACTGTAATTCGGGTTCAGTACAATTCACCCACTTAAATGCTATACTATGTTCACGGTTACACAATCAATCCCAAATTGATTTTAGAATATTTTTGTCACCTCAAAAAGAAACCCCAGGGACCAGCGGTTAGCATAATGGCTATGTCGCTGGACTCCCATGTAGTTGACTGCGGTTGGAGTCCCAGACCCGGTGGCTTAAACTCATGCTGGCACGTGTGCATACGTGCCCAAGATCCCATGAGGAGAATGGAGGAGAAGGGATTGTGGCGTGGCCACCCCCCCTGGGGGGTGATTTCTCACTTTCTATCTCTCTGTTTCTCTCTCTGTCTTTCTGGCGAGCACACACGCCCTATATCAAAAACCTCTCCAATAAATAAATAAATAAATAAATAAACCCCATAGCCATTAGCAGTCCCTCCCCAAGCTGTCCCCAGCTCAGGGCAACCATTAATCTCCTATCTCTGTAGTTTTGCCTGTTCTAGAAATTTCATATAAATGGTATCATACTCATTCTGGGGCTGAGCAATGGAGTAGCAGTAACACACCTGGACACACATGGGAAAGGTCCTGGAACGGGTTCCGGGACCTCCCTGAGCACACCAGGCATGAGCGTGCCTGCCCATGATCTAGAGCTGGCTAATACTGGGGTGGATGGTGGCATGAAGACCCTGTTGGAGGAGGCTGTCTTTCTGTCTCTGCTTTTCTGCCCCAAGAAATAAATAAATACATAAGCTTAAAAAGAAATTCCAAGAGACCTTTTATTTTTTAAATCACTCATACTGCTTGGGATAGTCCTGTATGTTAATCTTTCTATTTCTTTTCATGTTTTTTAAGTAGCCTGTGACTCCCTGGCTGATACTGTGTTCAACACTGTATGGACTCTGGGCTGCCGACCCTTTATGAATAGTCAACGGGCAGCCTGCATCTGTGCAGAAGAGAAGGAAGAGTTATGAGGAAGAGGTGGTTCCTTCCTGGTTTTGAGTGACACCCAGCTTCAGTCTGAGACGGTAGTGTGGCAGACACGTCTCATCCTTTCTCAGCCTTCCAAAAGTTTGGATACCAAAGACAGGAGAAAAGAAGCAACTGTTCAGCTACTGAAAAGTGAGTCTTATTCTTTGAGGAAAATTGAAAAAAAAAAAAAAGATGCGGAGTGATTCAAAGGCTGCTCTTCACTTTAACACTGGTCTCCCCAACTGAGGACATATTGGAAATCCAGGTCTTAGCTTAAAGACTATAATACAAGCAAAGTCTGTGGTTCCTGGATCTGATCATTATATTCGTAAGTGAAATTTTGGGGAGCCCAACCATTTGGGAGGCGATGACTTTCCTCTGGCCCATGTTTCACTTGCCAGTGAGCGTCTCACATTTAATAAAGTGTAGTTTTTAGAAAATGTGAAAAGAGATGAATGAATTCCATGATCATCAGCATGCTTGTTTCATGTAGAAGAGAACAGAACCCCACCTGGTAAGTGTCGCCAATGACAACGATCATTCCCACTGATGCCAGAGAGAGAAAAACGGGGGGAGGGGGGGACGGGGTCAGAGGCTTACCTGATTAAGCCAACAGAGGTGAAGGTAGATGGAATTAGGTCTCTGAGGTTGCATCTTTCCCTCTGGGACCTACCTGGTTAGTATTCCCAGGTACTAAGTGGCGTTAAAGTCATGCTAAGATCTGAGACATACTTGGGAAGGGCTATGGACAGAGACAGCCAGGAAAAGTCCCTGCAGCCAGAGCAGAGAGACAAGTGGGCATTCCCTAGGTTGCAGTTCTCAGCCCTGACTGTGGATTAGACTCATCTGAGGCCTGCTTAAAACAAAGTAATGGAGAATCTCTGGGGCGGTGCTTACCTACTGGTAGTTTATAAACGCTCCTCAGGTGCTTCTGATGCACAGAGGGCTGAGGGCCACTAATCTAGAGCAGCCATCTAAGGCCTGCCTGCCAGATCAAGCCCAAAGCTGGTCTCTACATGGTTTTTCTGGAACACACCCTCGCTCACATTTGTTTACATATCGTGGATGGCTAAAGTACTTACCCTCGGCCTTTTACAGAGATGTGCTGACCTTGGATCTAAATAACTTTCTTCTTTCCCCTCCTTTTGTTAACTTTATTGGTGAAAAAAAAAGACTTTTTAATTATAGCCACTTTTGAAAAGGAAAACAGTTTTTCTGATTTTACATGAAACCACAAATTAAATGGCATATTAAGAAATTGGATTTAGGGGAACCAGCAGTTAGCGTAATGACTATGTCGCTGGATTCCCACATAGTTGACCGCGGTTCGCATCCCAGACCCGGTGGCTTAAAACTCACGCCGGGCACGTGTGCGTGCCCAAGATCCCGAGAGGAGAATGGAGGAGAAGGGATTGCGGCGTGACCACCCCCCCGGGGGGTGATTTCTCGCTTTCTGTCTCTCTGTCTCTCTCTGTCTGTCTGGCGAGCATACGCACCCTATAGTGAAAAATCTCTCCAAAAAAAAAAGAAAAGAAAAGAAAAAAAAAAAAGAAATTGGATTTAGGGACCAGCAGATGGCGTAATGGTTACATCACTGGACTCCCACATAGTCAGCTGTGGCTCAAGTCCTGGACTCAACTACTTAAAACTCATGCCAGGCGAGTGTGTGTGTGTGTGTGTGTGTGCGTGTGCGTGTGTGTGTGTGCATGCCCAAGATCCCAAAAGAGAATGGAGAAGAACGGATTGTGACATAGCCATGCCCCTCTGGGAAGTGATTTGTGATTTGTCACTTTCTGTATATTTCTCCAGCGAGCACACATGCCCTATAGCCAAAAATCTCTAAAAAAAACAAAGAAATTGGATTTAATTGTAGATAAAATTAATCTTTGTGGTTTATAATATTTATTTCAATAAAATTCATTAAGCACCTACAAAACAGAGTATGGTATAATTTCATGCCTTTCTTTTTTAATTGTCTTATCAGCCTGATGGCACAGAATACCAAATAATAGGGCCTATGGTACAAACTTTAATTTTGTTTACAATTCAGTCATTGAATCACTTAGATGCATGTGCGTGAGTGAAAATACTCTACATAAGGCAATATAAAACACCAAAGGAAAATATTATGTAGAGAACCAAATGATATTTTAAAAAATTATACATCGTTTTATTGATAAACTTCCAAATCACCTGTAACTGTTCTGTATTTGAATCGAATTCTAGGGTGTAATTACTATTTACATATTTAAAGAGTCAAAATTAAACTAGTCAAATAATTTTGGTAACTATTTAAATGTTTTAGGTTTCTAACTTGACATACTCCTCGTTTTAGTGGTCCTACTGCGTCATACACGAGGTATTTAAGTGTAGGAAAAACAGGGGAACTGGGGTGAGCTCCTTGCTGTGTAGACAGCTCGACTTTGGACATTAGGAAGACTGAGCCCACCAGGCCACGTCATTCAGCAATGCCGTCGTCTGCACTCACCCACGGGCCCGAATTTGAGCGAGGAGGCTTCGGGAGTCCGTCTAAACTCACAGTAACAGGTCTGAAGAGTTTAGGAGACCCATGGATGTCCTTAGAGGGCAAGGAGAGACGTTCCAAGGAGGAGGGTAGCCCGAAGCTAGGGCTCCGGTGCTGTAACGAGCTAGTCATCCCAGTCGATGCTGATGGGGCCGCCGGTCAGCACCTGGCTCTGCAAACCCGCCGCGTCCTCGCCTCCGGCCTCGCGACGCATGCGCCGGTGGCAGCCTTGAGCACAGCGTGAACGCGCATCCAGCATCCCACAGACAAGAACCCGGCAGTGCAGAAACACTTCCTGGGAGGATGATAATGATCATGAATAAAAGCAAGGAGTAGAAGCGACACAGCAATGTATGTTCCCGAAGCACTCATTTCATCTAGTTAACTCTTGGAGGCAGGTGTTATTCCCATTTCACAGATGAGGAAACACACTTAAGTCAGGGAATGCCCAAACACACATTTAGTAATGAGCAGAGTTGGAATGTGAGTCACGTGGGCCCTTAAAACCCACATTCATAGCTTCTGCGTGGTGCTGGACCGGAAGAGACCTTTGGGAAGAAACACCTAATAACCTTAACATCCTAGTTCTTCACAGCAAGGTCTGGGAATATCATTGGCTCCTGCGCACTTCTGTTGTAAAATAACAAATTCTTTCTCCAAGCACCTTTCTGTAAGTAACTGCCAGAAGCTCACTGCCTTGTTGAGGACTGAGATCAAGATTGGCAGTCATTGTTAGTGGTGGTCCTGGAGCTATGGGAGAGTGGAGAGGGCATGAACACACTTAAAAGCAGTGTGGGGAGGAGTGCTGGCCTCTTAAACTTCCTTTTGTTTAACCTTTCAACAGTGATGCTGTACCAACAGCAAAAGAAATGTTTGCCTTATCACCCTCTTGCCTTTCTAGATAGCCCCTTGTGACCTCTATCCATGTGTATGCATATTTAAAAAAAGTAACATATTCGGTGTGCATGTAAATTATTATGACAGCAGTTTTTCACATCTGCTTTAGCATGTATCATCCCTTATTTATCATTTTAATAACTGCTTAACATTACATAAAATGGTACACTGTAGCCCTTAGCCTTGTTTTGGGGGCCTTTTTTTTCCCTCCCTCATAAGAATGCTCTACAAGCACTTCCAATAAACCTTGCTTCTTTGTTTTGTTTTTGAGAAACTGTCAGAATTATACTTTTTAAATAAAAGAACTCAATGCTTTTATGGTTATCAGTACATATTATCATGCCACTTTCCAGAAAGTGTACCAACTTATACTGCTGCTGTATACTTCTTTCTATAACTTTGCAAATGTTGTGATTTATAATTTTAATAAATTCAATGTGTATGAAATGGTGTTTTACAATGGTTTTAATTGGCACTTTAAGTACTATTTTCACTGGGTATTTCACTATTGGCTTTTCCTGTGAATTTTCCGTTCATATCCCTCACATGAGACTGACACTGCCTTTGTATTTTTCAGCCACACTTGCCCACAAAAATTGAAAATTATTTGACTAGTGCTTTCTTTGAATAAGCACTGTTATCTTATGGGGCAGGGGGCAGGCAACTGTGGTGTGCATGAGGTTGCTGAACTTCTTGACGGATGGCCAGTTGTACTGTATGTTCCTCAGAGGTTATGTAGATTCTAACCATGGGAGCTTAGAGTGTCAGCACACTGGGACACCAAGGAAAAAGGCTCGGATTTGGGGGTCACAAGGTAAGTGTTCAGCTCACCTTGTGGTCTTTGCCCACAAACTTGAAGACAGGGACCTGGAAGTGCTTTGCTAGGTGATCCCGGGATGTGTACTGCTTTACGGAGTCATCTGAAACACAGCTGAAAGTAGGACAGAGATCACGTCAGACCTGATGGCTTCAGCAGAGGTGGAAAAACAACCCAGTCCAACGTCTGGCTCAAGGAGAGGCAAACCGGGTGGAGGAGTCTGGGCTGCATTCAAGCTCTTTGAGAAGGAAGGAAAAATGAAATTCCCTTCCTGTGACGGCCTCTTCAGACATAGCTTTCCTCCTTAACATCTGTTCTATTTATCACTAGTGTTTCCACAAGGACTTCCTGTTAAGTTAGTACTGCCTAAGTATTAGCAACAGCAACATCACTGATTTCAAAGATACTTTTTGCGGGTAAGGCTATCTCTACACCTGTAAAATATATACTACATATACATGTACATATGTTCTTCAACACAGGACAGGAGTTCTTCATTCATGAGCTTTATCATTGGTTTGAGAAGGCTTTTCTTTAACGACTAAGGGGATGCAAAGGTGAGCAGAACACAATTTGTACATCAAAGAGTTGTACAAATATCTAAGTTTCTTAGAGAAGATTCATTCACCTCAAATTGTGTGTGTGTGTGTGTGTTTTCATAGGTTTTTGCCACAGGCTGTGTGTGCTTACTAGAGAGAGACAGAGGAAAAGTCAGAAATCACCCCCCTACAATGCGTGTGCTTGCCAGAGAGACAGGGAGACAGAGAGACAGAAAGCGAGAAATCACCCACCAGGGGAGACGACCATGTTGCAATCCTTTCTTTTCATTCTCCCCTCAGGATTTTGGGCATGCACGCACATGAGCCCAGTGTGAGTTTAAGCCATTGGGTCCAGAACTTGAACCGTGGTAGACTATGTGGGAGTCCAGCAATGTAACTATTACACTATATGCTGGTCCCAGAGTTTGGGTGGTTTTTTTTGGAGAGGTTTTTGCTATTGGGCACATGCTCTTGCCAGAAAGACAGAGAGACAGAAAGCGAGAAATCACCCCACAACAGGAATGGCCACAGCGCAATCCCTTCTCCTCCATTCTCCTTTCAGGATCTTGGACATGCACGCATGCACACATGCCTGGCGTGAGTTTGAGCAACCGGCATGGGACTCGAACCGTGGCCAACTACATGGGAGTTCAGGGACATAGCCATTACACTAACTGCTGGTCCTGAGTTTTGTTGTTGTTGTTGTTGTTTTTAAGTTCAGGTTTTCTGCTTAAAGTGAAACTTCTAAGATCTCTCCAAGGCTGGCAGGGAGTAAAGACACTTTGATTTCCCATGCTGAGACTGCAGTTTTAGATATTAACCAATCTTCTTAAAGTTCAAGCATCGTTCTCTTACTATTTTTTCCTTTCTGAATTGTAAAGCAACTTTTTATTCTGGACGTATTTTCATTTTTATGATTATCTAATAACTCCTAGCTACAGACCAGAGAAAAAGTGGAGGTCAGATATGAAGGCCTGTGAAACTAGGTACTTGCTCCACATGCCTGCGGACCGCCTTCTCATTCACTGTTAACTGCTGTTTCAGTGCAGTGTAAGCACCCAATGAAATTGTTTAAAAGTAAAACATCTTTACTATATTACTATAGTACCTTATTCCACTGAACTAAAGAGGACCTAAATATATAGTGTGATTTCTGTTATTTCTTGTATTTATTTACTCATTTGCATTTTCTGAAATAAAATTAATTTATACCATTTTCTGATGATGTTCAATAATAAATACCCATTGCATACCTAATCTGGGCAAGACACCGTGCCAGGTGCTGCAGAGGAAATAAAGATAAATAATACAATCTGCAATGTCAAGGAGTTTATAGCCCAGTGTCTATGGTGTTAATAGTAACACCTGATATTAAAATGGTACCTTTCATCTAAATGCCACAGTATTTTCAACTTACTTTATTCTAAAAATACTATTCTTTTTCTTTCTTTCTTTCATGAGAGAGAGCGCACATGCATGTATGCACACAGGAAGAGCAGAGAGAGAGAGAGAAGAGAGATTTTTGACAGGGTCTTGCTGTTGAGATCTCCCAATCCAGCCTCCCAGGAAGCTGGGATTGCAGGAGGGAGCCACTGGGCCTGGCTCGTTTTGGTTGTCTGGGATCTGAACCTGGATCTCTTGTGTGGCCCCACATTATGCCCTACTTCTTATGCTACCATGGCTGGGCCTATTAGTTTTTTTCAAAGAGAAAAGAGCAGAAAGAGTTATAACAAAATAATGAGTTACAGATTAGAACCTAGGACAAATTTTGGCTCTGATTTGCTGTTTGTTGTGAATAAAGTTGCTCTGACAACTCCAAGTCATGTGCTAAAAGAAAGTAACAGTGGTAGAGGAGAACCCAATGTAACTGTCTATCAAAAAGTTATTCAAGGCCCAGCCTGGTGGTGCAGTAGGTAGTGTCCTGAACTGCGGGGAAAGTCACCTGATGGCTGTGACTTCCCAAGCAATAGGCCTGGAACAAACCAGGCATGTGCCTGTGTGCCTAGGATCTTGACAAGTTAGAGGACTGTGAAAGGAACTAGAGCATGACCAGACCCTGACTAGAGCTCTCTCGTGCATGCACACTATACCATTTATGTTCATAAAAAAGTTGTTCGATACTTGATTTTGGAATTCAGTATATTTCTTTCCCTGAAGATTAACTTTCTATTTTGCCTAGACTAATTTTAAGTTATTTTTGCGTTCTCAAAGCATACGCCAACTAAAACTAGAAGGAAATGAATCAGATGTGTTCAAAATCCAGGGAAAACCATCCTGATTTTAATTTAGGCCACAGACAATGAATAAACAAAAAGATAAATAATTGGGGCACTGGATCCCACATGGCTGACTATGTAATTTGAGTCCTGGGTGTGGTAGCTTGAAAAACGCACTGGAGGGATCAGCAGATGGTATAATGGTAATGTCTCTGGATTCCCACATAGTTGACCACGGTTCGAGTCCTGGACCCAGCAGCTTAAAACATTCATGCCAGGCACATGTACATTCATGCCCAAGATCCCAAGAGAATGGAGGAGAAGGAATTGTGGTGTGGCCATCCCCTCAGAGGGGTGATAGCTCACTTTCTGTGTCTCTGTCTCTCCGGTGAGCACACATGCTCTACAGCAAAAATCTTTCTCTAAAAACGAAACAAAACAAAACAAAACAAAGAAAAAAGAAAAACACATTGGATACATACACATGTGTGCCCAAAATCTGGAGAGGAGAATGGAGGAGAAGGGATTGTGGCATCACCATCCGCCCTGGAGGAGGGGATTTCTCACTTTCTCTGTCTCTCTCTGGTGAGTGCATATGCCCTCTGGCAACAATCTAAACTAAGTAAATAAATACATGAATGATCACAAACTTTGTAAATATAAATGGAGTGAATTATATTAATTATGTTTATTTGAGGCTTGTGGACTAGCCCCAATTTACCATTATTATAAATATTCAGTAATTTACTTGGCACATATATAGTGATCCCTCCCCTAGGCTAGGAGTTGAGGAAGAAGAAAAAGGAAGAAGGGTTTCTAGTTTTCTATCAGATGAAGGCAAGGAAGACTTCATGGAAGAAGCGATCCCCATGGACTCTTGAAGGACCAGAAAGAATCAGACAGGAAGAAAAAAAGAGGTATGGAAGATTTGGGGCACAAGCAGAAGGAACAGCATGGGCACAGTCAGGAGGCTGTAAGGAACAACAGTTTGGAGACCGTCAATAATTCCCTTTGGCAGGAGCAGCAACTGGAAAAGGCCAAGGTCGGAGAGTGAAGGCACAGCGAGCCAGCCTGAGAGCGGGATCAGTTCATACGGGTCCGTACATCTTCCTGCCTGAGCTATAGACGGGTCTGTTGCCTGCTTACAAGACAGACCTGCACTGCTGTGTTCTTCAAGTTCTGTCCTCTATCTCTCCACAGCATATTTTTCTTTCCTCTTTTACATGTGTTAAGGGCTGAAAAAATAGTGTGGCTTCTTAGAATGGTCTGAAATAAAAGGAAGTAGTCTTTTCTGAGATTCTTAATAACAAATATATAAATAAAGTTGATAAGCTTTATTGAGATTGTAGGTTATGTATTTTCCCAATAAATGAGATATAATTATGTACTTATTTTTGCAAAAAGGAAACAGGAGGGACGCGAGAAAACTTAACTGCGGCTGAGAGGTATATTCATTATACTGATTGTAGTGACGGCATCATGGGTCTTTACATCAGGACTTATCAAATTATTTAGCTTGCCACTTCATTTATTTATTTATTTATTTGGAGAGGTTTTTGCGATAGGGCGTGTGCGCTTGCCAGACAGACAGAGAGAGACAGAGAGACAGAAAGCAAGAAATCACCCCCCAGGGGGGATGGCCATGCCACAATCCCTTCTCCTCCATTCTCCTCTTGGAATCTTGGGCACACACGCACACATGCCCGGCATGAATTTTAAGTCACCGGGTCCAGGATGCGAACCGTGGTCGACTACATGGGAGTCCAGCGACATAGCCATTACGCTAACTGCTGGTCCTGCCAAACACTTTAAATACGCACATTTACTGTATGTGAGTGGTACTCCATTAATGCTGTAAAAAAGAAAAAGATTTAAGAAACAAAAATCCACTTTTATTAAAAAAAAATCAATTCCCAAATCTACTTAGCATCAAATATGCGACTGGGAAAAAAAAAAGAAAAAAATAATGCTTTTACTGTTTATTTAAAAACTTTCTGGAGATTGCTTTAGGATGGCAAAAAATCCAGAGGGCTCCAGACCCCCTGGATTACAGAACCCCTCTGTTATGGGCCAGGCAAAACAGCTCACAACAACAAACTTTCCATGTTACAAAAATAAGCTAAGGAGCCTTTAGGAATCGGAGGCTAGAAGCACCCCTGGGGAGCAGTGAAGTTTACCAACCAAAAGTAACAGAGAGCCACTGAAAGGTTTTCAGCGGATGAGACAGATCATATTTTAAGCATTGCCTAGGGGTTCTGCTGAGCTGAGATTTGAGAGGTGGCATGTAAGAGGCTGTGTCAGGAGGCTGTTTTTACTGTCCAGGAGGAAAATAATTAGAACCAGAATTAAGACAATAGGAATGGAACAGAGAGCACAGGGTTGGGCATTGTTATTTTTATAAAAGCTTCTTAGTTGAGCCTGAAGTGCGTCAAAGGTTGACAGATCATTGTGCAAGAGATTGATAGAGCAGATGAAGGGTGCCTATGCTGAGAGGCTAGGAGAAGAAAAAGCAAAGCAGGAATTTCCAAAAGCTCAGGCGAGGGCAGGGCTCTGAGCAAGGCACACTCCTGCCTCTTATTAAACGGTTTACCTTTTATGAGGCTGCGGGTCTGCCCTCCCTGAGTCTGTCCTACCTGTTAGAACAAGGAAGAAACTCAAGAGGTACTACTGTGTGGATTCCCCCCCACCCCGGGGATGTATGTGCTCTCTGGAGGGAGACAGTGGGGAGAGGAGGGAGCAAACATGAGAAAGCAACCCTCATGGGAGATAGTCATGCTGCAATCCCTTCTCCTCTATTTCTCCCTCCTTTTGGGATTTTGGGCATGCATGCACATGTGCCCAGTGTGTTTTTCAAGCTGTGGGGTCCAGGCCTTGAAAGCACAGCTGTCATATGGGATCCAGCTGCCTCAACAACTGCATCACCAGCTGGCTACTATGAGGTTTCAGTTTGAGCATAATTTTCCTGGCAATGTAAGCAATGGCTGTGAAAACTGCTGGGCTTCCGTCAAGATCTCAATCCGAGGATCCTCGGGAAATATCATGGACATCTCTTTTGTATGAAACAAGTACAAAAGCAAACATGGCTGTTTCTTCTAAATTTCTTCTCCTAAAATCTACCAAGTATTGTGACCAGCAGATGGCATAATGGTTATGTCGCTGGACTCCCACGTAGTCGACAGCGGTTCGAGTCCCATACCTGTCGGCTTAAAACTCAAGCTTAGTACCTGTGCATAGATCCCGAAATTCTGAGAGGAGAATGGAGGAAAAGGGATTGCGGTGTGGCCATCTCCCCTAGGGGGTGATTTCTTGCTTTCTGTCTCTCTCTCTGGTGAGCATACGACCCCTATAGCGAAAAAATCTCTCTTAAAAAAAAAAAAAGAATAAAAATCTACCAGGTATTTCTTCTTTCCCCTTCACCATCAGACTTCTTGGAAAAGGAGTCTACACTCACTGTTTCCACCTCTCGTTCCAAGCACTCTCAGTCTTTCAAGGATGCAGCTCCCACCCGGCATGCACACACTACCCTCTCTGAGAGGTGACCCACCCTAACAGTTCAAGGATAAACAGGGTAACTCTGTCATTTACTACTAGTCCCGACCTTGTTCCTGAGTCTAAGTGATAGTATTTCCAACTGCCCACTGAACTTTTCTCCCTAAGTACCCTTAGGGAGTTAATTTTTAATTTTTTTAGAGATTTTTTCTATAGGGTGCATGTGCCTGACAGAAAGACAGAGAGCAAGAAATTATCCCCAAGGGGAGGATGGCCACACCACAATCCTTTCTCCTCCATTCTCTTCTCAGGATTTTGGGCACACATGCACATGTGCCTGACCACTGGGTCCAGGACTCGAACTGAGGTCAGCCATGTGGGAGTCTGATGCCTTAACCACTACACCACTGCTGTCCCCCCATTATATTTTTTAATTATTTAACATATTATTCTAAAAATAATCAGGTTTTCCTTAAAAAACAAATAAACAAATAAACCAGAGGTGTGTGCGCTGCGGTATGCCCTTCTCCATCTCCCCCACAGTTTGGAATTTGGGGCAGGCACACACATGCACCAGGCGTGTTTCTGAAGCTGCTGGATCCAGGACTCAAATTGTATGGTCAGCCATGTGGGATCCAACTCCCATAACCAGTAGGCCATGAGACCAACCCAATAACCAGATTTTCTACAATTTTTTTGTCTAGCTAACGGCATCTAACTGGTCACCCGATCCGGACACACTGGAGTCATCTTGGCTCCCCTTTTCTTCACCAGTTCACTTTCAATATATCAACAAATGGTTTTTGAACTAATAAAGAGCCTGTGAGACTGCCCTGCTTGTGACAGTGCTGTGCTGCTGCAGTAAATGGCGGACTATGCGTGGGAACTCGAGGCCGGTGTGGACTGGAATAACGAGCCCATCAAGCAGCATACATACCCATCCCGGATAAGGTAGTATTTGAGGATCTCGTCGATCTTGGCCGTGGGCGTGGCAAAGCAGCTCTCCACCAGGCTTTCTAGGCCACTCACATGCACCAGGGGCTCGATGCCAAAGTAGAGGGAGTCGCGAAGCTTGAGGGTGGGCAAGGCTTCCCTGTATGGCTCTTCAAACTCGTTGTCCTTGAAGATCTCCAGGGTGAATGGGAAGATTCCATGATTTCGGCTCATGATTTCCAGTGGGGAGTTTCGAAGGTGGGGAACGTAGCCTTCAGAAATGGTGTACAGGCGTGGAAATTCGCAGGTCACCGGGATCAGCAGTTTGCTGGTCCGGATGATGATATCCCCGCTGCTCCCCGGGGTCTGCTTGGGTAGACCTGTCACAAGGTTGCTAGCCACGATCTTGTCATTCACCACCTGGCCAGGCCGGGGTGAGGAGAGGAGAGAGATTTTATATTTATTTCTACAGACCTTTTGCCTCCCTATTTACCTTAACATTTATCCTAACTTTTGTTTATATTAAAACACACTAGAGATTTGATTGCCTAAGCCTAAAGCTTTTTTTTTTTTTTTCTTTTCATTGCTCTCCTCTTGTTAGTAAGACATTCGACTGCTAAGTTTTACATACTGCTTCTTGGCCAACCGACACATTCCTTTAGAGTATTACTCTTAAAACCTGACCGACTAGCTGGTGGCCTGGTGGCTAAGGTGGCTGGATCCCACGTAACTGACTGTAATTTGAGTCCTGGACCCTGCAGCTTGAAAAACACTCTAGGTGCATGTGAGTTCACTCTCCCAAGAGGAGAGTGACGGAAAGGGAATTGCAGCATGGCCATTCCCCCTCGGGAGTGATTTCTCTCTCTCTGGAAAGTGTACACACCCTATAGCAAAAACCAAAACAAAAAACCTGATGTAAGGAGGCCAGAGGTAGCACAGCACAGTGCCCTGTGAGGCTGAGCCACATAAGAAGGTTCCAGTTTGTGTCTGGAGATCCACCTGAACACTGAGAGCATTTGTGTGCCCATGATCCGGGGCTGGCTGGCACTGGGGGTGGATCACAGTATGAAGATCCTGTTGGGGGTGCCTGCATCCCTTGTTCATGAAAAAAAGAAAGGAGAAAGAGAAAGAAAGAAAGAAAGAAAGGAAGGAAGGAAGGAAGAAAGAAAGAAAGGAAGAAAGAAAGAAAGGAAGAAAGAAAAAGAAAAAGAAAAAGAAAGACACTTAAAGAAAACATTCATTGGGATCGCCAGGTGGCATGGTGGTTAAAGGTGTTGTACTCCCACATGGCTGACCGTGGTTCGAGTCCTGGATCTGGCGGCTTGCTTTATCACCTTCTCTCTCTCTCTCTCACTCTGTCCCTTTCTGGTCAAATTTTAAAAATAATAAAGGGAACCAGCAGTTAGTGTAATGGCTATGTCGCTGGCCTCCCACGTAGTCGACTGCGGTTCACGTCCTGGACCCGGTGGCTTAAAACTCACGCCGGGTGCATGTGCGTGCGTGCCCAAGATCCCAAGAGGAGAATGGAGAAGGGAATGCGGTGTGACCATCCCCCTTGGGGGGGGGTGATTTCTTGCTTTCTGTCTCTATGTCTCTCTCTGTCTGTCTGGTGAGCGCACATGCCCTATAGCAAAAATCTCTCAAAAAAAAAAAAGAATAAATAAATAAAGTTAAATAAAATAATTTTGTAAAAAAGGAAAAGAAAAACTCTCATCTACACAGACTCAGCAAATTCAAAGCTCTCGTATTTTAGAAAAGGATGCTATTTTTCAGGAGCCTTAGATTGGGTGTCCCTGCTGGAGTGTGACCTTGTGCTCGGCTCACCCACACTGGAACTTCAGCTGGCATGTTTCTGCAGATGATTTTCAGCTCTTCATCTGCAACCTTGTTTGCTCTCTGTGCACCAGAGAGTAATGCCAGCTGCCTATGGGGCGTTTTTATTTGATTATCCACCAATACAATCAACTTGACTTGCCTACAGTGAGACCACCTGCTCTTTGAATTTCTCCCCCATATCTCATCCCAAGTTTAGTTAGTTCTCTTATTTTCACTTAGTAGGATGCATAAATAAGTATTGTTTGACCAAATGATCACAAAGGCCTCTGCACTGACCTGCAGGGAGATTCTCTTTGCTCTGTCTTACATGCTTTCATCAGATCCCAAATTTCATCACCACAGTCCCTTATTAACCCCTTTTCTAGGGACAAAACCCAGAAATCTCTCTCTAGCACACGAGGCAGGTCTTTGGAGGTGCAGCCTACCCATCTACGTTCCCTGTTTTGTTTCCCAAGAATTCCTTGCCAGTCAGGCTACGCTTCACATTTATCCCACCTGAATAGTCGTCTCGCAGACTTTGCTCACTTTTTTCCCATCTGAAAGGCCTTTTCTTTGCCTCTCTGCTTGTGTAAACCATGCATACTTCCATCCCAACCTAAGACCACTTCTCCCTTTACTGGATTCTTTAAGGGCCTGTCATCTGTCTCACTGTTTGTCCTTTATTTACATTTTATTTGTTGTCATCTTAATACTGCTATGTAAGTTCCTTTTAGACAGGAATCTTATTTCATTATATCCCTTGGACTCTCTAACACAGGGCTGTGTATAGATTTCTGGGTGAAAATATAACCATATGTCAACCTGGTTCAATACTTGAATTCATACACTACACCGTAATTTAATCAACCTCTGTATTGGTCACATTCTTTTAAAAAAGAGTCAGGGGAGATGTAGTCAGCTTCTAGCTGGTGCACTCAGGAAAGTATCTGCACTTTCCAGAGAGACAGGGCTACCAGAGAACAGCAACAGCAGAATTCTTACCTCCCTGTCCTCACAATGCCAGGACCAGGGGAGACACTCAGTAATGCATTGTCAAATGAGTGACATAGATGTTTAGTTTCGATTCTGTTATGTGGACATATCTTATCTATGACACAGGCCATACTGCATGCTTCTAGTCAGCTATCTCCCAAATAACTGGCTTTGGTTCTTCCTCAAGTGTTCTCCACAAAGAACCTACATCAACAACTGTGCCACACGTCTTGAGCGAGAAGAGGATGTTGACATGGGTGCCATTGGATACTCCTCGGCAGGATGTGTTGGTCAGGAAGAGTTCCAGGCCGCCAACCAGCTCTCTGGGGATGCTCACTTCAATGGTGCTTGACTTGCACAACACAGGGACTGTGGCAAACAGGGACTACTGTTAGAACCAAGAGACCTGAACCAGGAGAACAGGATAAGGGATTGTTCTAGAATAATTTCACCCTCGAACATCTTGAGATTTTGGTCCAACCTCAAGGAAATCAGTGTAGCTCAGAATAAGTTGATGAAGGAAATCAGGATTCCTTTCCCCCAAGATTAAGGCCAAATAATGCTCTTCAAATATATTGTCCCCTAAATTAGAAAATATTGTGTTCAAGTTTCAGGTTAAAAAAAATACTTGTTTCAAAGTGTAGCTAGTATAACTCCATGAACTGAAACACCTAATGGATTAATTTTTAGTGCAAATACAATTTATTGGCAATATAGGAAAAGTACTACTTTGATACAGGCTTAAACTGTATCATAACATAATAGCAGAGCTTTGGCTTTATCGTTAATTATTGCCCCCATAAAACTGAGGTAATAAAAACAGTGTTAGTGCATTTGGGAAAGGCTTCCAAATTGTTCCTGCATTGCTCAGTAAACCATAAACTCTGACTATAAATTCCACTAAAACTTAGTGTAAAAAAGATTGCTTTTCTTCAGCATTTCCACATTCACTTCTTTAGACCCTAAAAACATCCTAAAATGAATACTTATGGGTACTGCCAGAGTCTAATATGCAAAGACATATCATAACAATGGGATAGTATAAAATAGGTGCTCATTATATATTTGCTGGATGAAAATGAATGAATATTATGGACATCAAAAACCAAATTTCCAGGAAAGTTCTCAGAGGATTGTTGATACTCATATTTTAGGTGTAGAGAGAAGAATCCATTCTCAGACTTTCAACTTAGGTTCACTTAGTTTCAACCTAATTTTCTGTTAGAAAAGAGAAGAACTGCATCAATACTTAAAATTCAAATTGAGTGTTAGTTGTACAACAAACCAGAGAAAGCAGAGAAAAATCAAAGGTCAATGGCAAAGGAAAGTTAGCTTTTTGGTAATCTTTTCTCAGAGACATTTTCTCTTGGATGATTCCAGAGTGATGAGGATCACAGGGCTCAAAGAGCTGGTGTTCTAAAAGACTGGAATCTTGACACTCTTGGAAAGAGAACAAAGAGTTTTAGGGGAGGACGTAGTATAAATGAGAGCATGTACTACCTTGGCAAGTGTGGTTATCTTCAGACAGCACCAAGCCCCGGGGACATTCACACTGGTAGCCCTTCTCAGACTCAAGACAAGAATGGCTGCAGCCGCCATTGTTATTGTGGCATCCTTCAATGTCTGCCGTAGAAACCAACAGAAAAGGGAATCATCTTATAACCCTCTTTCCGAAGAATTCTGGCACTGTGCATCAGGGATTATACTTGATTCACGGAAGTATTCCTGGGGTCCAACCCACTGAGTAAGAAGTGTAAGCAAGTACCCCACCCCTGCCAAAAGAAATGTTTATTAAATGTTATAGCTACAGATACGAAAGGTCCAACATCCACTCCTCTACACACGTAAGCTGGTCAGGTATTTTGTAGAATGTCCTTCGATTTGGGTTTGTCTGATGTTCTTCTCATAATTGGATTATGTGTTTTAAGGAGTAAGATATGAAAGTCGTTTCTCAATTGCTCTAACATAAATCCACCCAATCTGAACATCACAGAGTATTACAGACATAAAAGGGATCGATAGCGTATAGATTCAACTGGACTGGCTGATGGACTAGAGCTGTTGTGGACTGGCTGGCTCACTTGCCCCTCTCCTTGCATCTCGAAGAACAAGAGCACTGAGGGGATAAAGCATGTGGTGGAGATGGCACACCATAAAAATGAGATCCAGACACCATGCTAAGAGCATCCATCCAGCTTAGCTGGGTGACTCTCTTCTGCTGAGGTAATTTTTTAGGGCTTCTCTTCTTAAACTTTTACAATGCATTCTCAGGTGAAAGGGAAGAAAAATAAATTTCATTGAAAGCTAAAGAAATTACCATATGACTTTAAACTTAGCAGAGGAAAAATAATGTTCTTATGGGACCTGGACGTTATCTTTTAGGTCAGAGGTTGCCAAACTCTTACCTACTACTCATTGTTACAAATAATGTTTTATTGGCACACAAACATGCCCATTTGTTTCCCTCTTGTCTATGGTTGCTTTCCCACTATTAGAAGGACAGAGTTGAGTAGTTTCTACAGATTTCACATGGACCACAAATGCTTTCAAATAATCCGAAATACTCAGAGAAGGATAAGTTGATTTCCAGTTACAGCTGTATTTCTTTCAGTTCAATAACAGTGAAAAAAAGTTCTTTGGAACCTCAGTAAATTAATTTAGGATAATCAATTCTTTTAAAGTATCAAAATGAGTTTATTAAAATGTATACTTGTTATACACAAAACTTAGAAATACCTCAAGGTTATATACTTTAAATTATACAGCCTTATACTTTCAGCCTCCCGCGTTACTGAGGGGGTGAGGAGGCGGCTGGTGTGTGGCGCTGCGGGGTGATGGTGGGGCTGAGTGAGTGAAAGTGAGAGTCTTACCGATGGGAATTAACCCCCTCACCAGCCCGGACACCGGTTCCAGCGGCAGGGGGCCCCGACTGGCAGAATCCCCGGGATAATCAATTTTTGTGACAAGCAGACAGAGAATAAATTTGTAATGACAATCATTGTGAATTTATCTAGAGAGAGGGATCATCTATTTATAAATCTATATCTTTTAGAAGAATAAAAGCATACCTACTGCTTTTAAAAATAGCTGAAAATGTTAAGTAATAGCATGGAAGAAAGTAAAAAATATGCTATGAGTTAAAAAATCAGCAATAACAGGATTTTTTTCCCTTAAAAATGACCCTCCTTAAGTCAATTTATTTCTGAGTTGTGATTTCAATATTTATAAAATGAAGAGGATGGACTAAATGTTCACTTAGGATATTCCCATGTCTAAAAATGCAAAGCAGAAATAAACTGAACATCTAAAAGGACTTCAAGGATCTATATCTCTCAGGAGAGTATACCAAAATGTTTCAAATGGATATATCTGGCACATGAAATCGTGGATCATTTAAATGATCTTACTTGGGGTCAGCAGGTGGCATGGCGCTGGACTCCCACATCGCCGATTACGATTCAAGTCCCAGACCTGGGGCTTGAAAATCATGCCTGTGTGTGTGCGCATGTCTATCCAAAATCCAGGGAGGAGAATGGAGGAGAAGCAATTGCAGTGTGGCTGTCCTCCTGGGGGCTGATTTCTCACTTTCCCTCTCACTGTCTCTGTCTCTTTCTGGCAACACATGCACCCTATGACAAAAACCCTTAAGGTAGATAAATACATAAATAAATGAATACTCTTCCTTTACTGCTCTGTATTTTCTTCTACACTGCATAATAAGGCAAAACAATAAGCATTACTTAAAAATTAAAAAGAGCTGTTTATTTTTTAAAAGAACATATAAATCTAACAGCCTAAAACATACATATTTGGACCATCAATAAAATTTAAAGATTACAAATAGGAATATTAAGCCTGAAGTGCAGTTCATATATAATTTTCATCTTCTGCTAAAATATTTTTCAGTTATGGTTATCAGGTCTTACGATTATATGAGGATTAACTGTAATATTTCCAATAAAGTAGTCATGAATAATTATAAATGTCCCTTATGGAACATTTTATTAATATGCAAATATGAAAAAGTTATTACATAAAATAATTAAGGTCTAAGGAGGATTCAGGACAATTTTATTCAGTAAAATTTAAAATACATTTAGACTTGTTATAAGGGATAGTAGTTTAATATTCTGCTTAATGTTCCCTGAGTTAATAATGCAAACTTTGCTGCACCAAATAAATCATGGGCCCTGGCCATAATTTTTTCTTCGCAAGCAGTATTTTATTATTTCGACTATAACTAACTAGAATGAAATGAACTCTTTAGATTTTTTTTTTTTTTAATTTGCTCTAGGGCATGTGTGCTCCTCAGGGAGAGAAAGAGAGAGGACAACTGAGAAAGCGACCCTCTCAAAAGATAACCTCACTGCAATTCCTTCTCCTCCATTCTCTTTTTAGGATTTTGGGTGCACATGCACACATACCTAGCCTGTTTTTCAACGTGCTGGGTTAGAATTTGAACTGTACAGCTAGCCATGTGGAATCCTGCTCCCTTAATCACCTGCCACTGACGAGGCCTAAAGTGAATTCTTTGTAAGCAGTTCAGTAGCTCCATTATTCCATAACATTCATTTATCCAGAGGGACAAATCATTCATCATCTGTAAATAATCATGTTCAAACCATTTGTTTCTCCATGTAATCGGAAAGAGGGTTATGAGAATTCAGACTTACTAAAGCAAAAGTGACAAAATTTACATTGCGATCATTTGGAAGGGTCCATGTGCTTTACAAAAGGGACATTTTTTAGGTTTCATAAAATAATAGTAATTTTTGTCTCAATGGTTTGATATACATTATGAATTCTTCTTTGTTACTTAGTCCTATAAAATATATATAGTATCTCTACATTAAAAATAGATCATCTTGGAACCAGCAGTTAGCGTAATGGCTATATCGCTGGATTCCCACGTAGTCCGGTTCACGTCCTGGACCCAGTGGCTTAGAACTCACGCCGGGTGCGTGTGCGTGCGTGCCCAAGATCCCGAGAGGAGAATGGGGCAGAAGGGATTGCAGCGTGACCATCCCCCCTGGGGGGTGATTCTCGCTTTCTGTCTCTATGTCTCTCTCTGTCTGTGTGGCGAGGGCATGCACCCTATAGTGAAAACCTCTCAAAAAAAAAAAAAAAAGATCATCTTACTTATCTCCAAAACGTATTAATTTTGAATAAATATTATAAAGCATATGTGTAAGGGTCCATTCAGTAAAGCTCTTCTGAGCACCACCTGGTATCGCTCCAAGGAACCAAGGCTGAGCTTCTGCAGAATTGGTCTTGGCAAGAGCCCACACTCCAGGTGCTGCTACTGCAAGGTCACACTGACTCAGGAAGTAGCAGATAAAGACCCAGAGTGAATACTGGGAGGTCTGACTTCCAAGCTCTCAAGCCCTGCTAGCCCCAATGATGTAGACTGTCCTAGGAAGGAGGCCTGGGCAGGGTGAGGTGGAAAAAAAAACCCCAAGTGATTCTCAGCAGCAGGGCAGTTTGAGAAACTTTACTATAAACTGCTGTGTTACGTGCCCCTGTAACTGCTATCCAGGGGTACTCCTCGGGCCTATGGCATAGATGTTTCTTAAACAGTTATTCAGAATTGCCATAATCTGACCCCAATCCTTCTAACAAGATTCTAAGTGACACATGGGAACTCTGAGGTCTGAGAGACATGAAATACTCTTTTTATTTACTCCCCTCACCAAATGTGGCTTTCTGTCTCTTGCAAAAATTCCCTCCCCCCATGTGGCTTTCTGTCTCTTGCAAAAATTCCCTCCTGTTAAATCTCAGAGAGAAAAATCAACACCGAGCTCTGTCCATAGCATGAGCGTTCTCAGTGATACCAAAGCCCTCTTGTCCTTTCTTCACGCAGCCAACCGTTACTCTCTTCTAACACGAAGGCGGTTTTCCTGAGCATCAAAGAATAAGCAGTGACTCCCTCCGAGCTCTTGAATGGAGTGCCACCTCACCCGTTCTCACCTTCACAGGTCCTGCCATCGCTTCTCAGCACACGGCCGACCCCGCACTCACAGCGGTAGGAATTTTTGAGGTTTACACAGACCTCACTGCAGCCACCGTTGTGCTGCTCACATTCGTTTTCATCTGGAGAAGAGAAACGGCACCATTTCCATATTGCTGAGCAAGTCAGCTTTTTCTCAAGCCCCTGAGCAGAATATCCACATCGTTTCAGATCCTGTTGCTGTACCGTCCACATCCCAAGTCCCCCACTATGGTCCAGTATAATCACATCCGCCAGCCTGATCTCCTCAACTACGTTATTTGTTCAGCTGCCCTCTGCTGAGTGGAAGGCACCTCATTGCTGCCAATTCTCTCCTCTAAGGGCAAAACTATGGAGAAATGAAGTTCCTTTTGTACCTGGGTGTACCTATTTGTTCTGATGAATTTCATTTTCTACAATGAGTTTCTGAAACATTGCTAAATATATACAAACTTAAAAACAAATGTGTTTTCAATCCTTAAAAGAGCTTATGGGCCAGTCGGTGGTATGGTGGTTAAGATGGCTAGATATTACATGGCCAACAATGCAGTTCAAGTCCCAGGCTCGGCAGCTTGAAAAATACACTGGGTATGTGTGTGCACATGCCTGAAAGGAGAATGGAGGAGAAAGGATTGCA